GTCATATTTCTTAATTAATGAAATTAATGAATCTTTTTCATTATGGTACTTTTTAAATATATTTTCAAATTATTGTAAATGATGTACGTAGATATCTCCCTTCATACTTTCGTGACATTGGTGTCATTACCGTCCAAAAACTAGCTAGAGCATATGTCTTTCACTCTAACAGAAGACTATATAGGTACACGTGACACAATCTTATCTGTCGATCTGATATTGAATAAATGTCGGGTTAGCGAATAGGATTATGATACGTGTAAGTCCGTTATTATAAAGGGTATAGATATTTGCTCTAGTTTTTGGACACCAGAAACACCAATATCCCAAGAATATAACGGAAAATAATTGCATACCATTTACGATAATTCGAGGATATATTTGTTATTTTTCTTAACTAATGATGTGTGAGTTAGACCAAGGTTACTAAATAAACTTGATTAAAGACAATACCAATATCATTGATGATTACACAAAAAAACATGATCGCTAAGAATTCATATAACCAATCCCAACTTCTCTCGAACTAAGGAGCAGTCGTTGTACAATGATGGGCCTCCCTGCAGTTACAAGCAAATTAGAATACCACTTACATGATGTTATCTTGAAACAAATTAAATACTCTTTTCGTTTTAGAAAGAATGATCTAATTTGATTTGGAACGAAATTTAGAAAAGACAAAAAACTTTTTAATCCTGTGGTTATAAATTAAAGTTATGTCAAATGTACCAAAATCCCCTTAGATCTTGTGGTCCTAAAAATGTCCCGTGGAAAGTTAAAGTTAAAGTGTTGCCAAAAAAGGAAATGCGTCATTCTTTTTGAAACAGACTAAAAAGAAAATTGGGTCATTCTTTTTTAAACGGATGGAGTATCATCTTTTTGCCCATAAAAAAACACAAAAGAAGCTTTTAGGTTACTTCTTTTTGGTTTACAATTCTTCAATTAGAGGCGGAACCAAGATTAACAGTTTAGGGATTCTAAATCAGTTTTGTTTGATGATTTACAACAATACATATATTTATATAATTTTCTAATACAAAAAAGATCGTAAATTCATCTTAACCCACAAATCTCCCGCCTAGCTCCGCCTCTCAGAAAATCCACAAATGAGCATACAATTTACTAGTTTTAAGAGACATTAACATCACTAAATATCTACATAACCACAAAATAGCTCGAAATCAAAAAACAAAAAAGAACTGAAAATTGATGATTTTGATTTGTTTACTTTAAAATGTATGCGTTTAAAAATGAGGCATCCATCTCAAGCCTCCAAATTTGAGTTGCCCCATTTTTAGTAACAACAGAATTAGTATAAGTATTTTTTAAACAAAAAATAAATCACATTCGTTATTCTTTTAGTCCGTTTCGAAATATTAAAAAAAAAAAATTCTTTTTCATCAATTTTCTAAGAAGTGTTAAGAGTTGTAACTAACTCATTTAAATATTTTATGAAAAATGAGCTAAAAGTTTCTTTTATTCTTAATCAGAAGCTTTATGTTCGAGTCTCTAGCTATAGAATCGCCTTTGTTAGGGAGTGGTTTATCTCCTTTCTCCTCAACCCTCTGATGTTGTTTTGGTATCTTTAATCCAAATTTAATCGAGTTCTAATATCGGTACCGAATATAAGTGAAAACCCAAAACAAAAATGGTGAATAATACACAATATTATCAATAATCATTTTTCTATATACATAAAAAAAAATTACTTTCCTATTGTATTATACTTCTTGTATTTGAGAGTCTCTTTGACTATATATAAATTATTCCTGCGTACTTAACTTATATGATTGTTGCAGATACACATATAACACTCTCAATCTTAATGAATAAAATTATTTTTTTATATTAACAAAATTACTTTGAATTTATAATATTTTTTTTGTTTTTCAAAATATTTGTTGCAAATACGCACATATTTATTGTTTTGCTGTGTTATCAAATAAGTAAGTCTTTTTTATATACTAAGGCTCATTCAAAAAAAGAAAAAAGAAAAAAGCTCTAGTATGGATCAATTAGTCAAAACTATTTTTATAAAACCTTATACCTTTTAGATTCTTTTATGTATTTTATGTAAATTTTAAATGTTAGTTTATCACAGTATGAAATTTCTTAGTCTTTTTTTAAAAAAATAAAAATTTGGTTGAAAATGTTTTTATAATAACAAGACCAAAAGTATTTAAACTAATTGCAAAATTTGGTTGAATTAGGCATCTTGCTGGTTTGCCCGAGTGGTTAAGGGGGAAGACTTAAGATCTTCTGCACACAAGTGCGCGTGGGTTCGAACCCCACAGCCAGCATTTTTTTATTTTTTCCTATCTTTCTAACCGCGCACGAGTTGGACTTAAACCACGTAAAACTCGTCACTACCTTCCTATCTTTCTAATCGCGCACGAGTCGGACTTAAACCACGTAAAACTCGTCACTACCTTCCCATCTTTCTAACCGCACACGAATGTGACTTAAACCACGTAAAACTCATCACTACCTTCGTATCTTTCTAACCACGGGTCGGACTTAAACCACATAAAACTCATCTCTACCTTCCTATCTTTCTAACCACGCAAGAGTCGGACTTAAACCATGCATCACTACCTTCCTATCTTTTCAACCGCGCACAGGTCGAACTTAAACCACATAAAACTTGTCACTACCTTCCCATCTTTTTAACTGTGTACAGATTGAACTAAACCATGTAAAGCACATTACTACCTCCTAAATATGTTGAAATGTACCATGATTTTTTTTAAAAAGGAAAAATTGTACAATCCATCTTTATATTTCATTCTCTAATATTATTGATATTTAAAGTATTGAACAATTTAATCGTACCGATAGAAATTTTTTACAGACGTGTAGACAGACATATGTGCAATAATTTTTGCTTAGACTACATTTTACACATAGTTGAAAGAATTTATTGCTACTTTTAGAAATATTGTTACATCTCTTTCATGGGGCAAGAAAATGTATTTTCTCTACTATCAATTTTTTACTTTTTATTCTAGTCTTTCTAATGGAAATAATGGAGGGAAAATTACATACATACATAATTTAAGAGTAATTTAAAAAATAGGCATAATACATAAATATGTCCCTTTAACTTGGCTTCAAATCACATTTATGTCCTTCAACTTTGGATGTGCACAAATAGACATTTAAACTTGTACAAAGTTGAACAAATAGACACAAATGTCCTATATGTTATCCTACATGTCATTTTTGAAATTGGTTTTTACCATGCCACTTTTTATGGTTGCTATAGGTTTGCAAATCTCTCTCTAATTATTATCTTTTTATACATCATGAGACAAAATTATGATGTTTGATTAAGCCTATAAGCTAATAAAATTTTTGTTTTTAAAACAAAAATTATGATCTTCGATAGATATACTGTTTGATGAATTAATAAATACTTATAAGTCAAAAGTTATAAATAGATCACCTTCAATTTATAATTTTTCAACTTATAAAGACTTTCAGTTTGTAGTATGCCTATTGGAAACGATCATTCTATATTACAAAAATAGGTAGGTATAAGGATTTACAGTACATTCTACCTTTTCCATCGCCCATTTATGGGATTAAATTAAGCATGTCGTTGTTTTAGTAAGCACTTTTAGGTTTAAAAAAAGCAATTTTAGTTTGATCGAAAATTTTTACTATTTTTTAAAACATTTTTTACAAAAACTTCCAAGTCCTCTTCATTTCTTATTCATGTTCATTATTTTTCTTACAAGAAAACCTTTGAAATTTACGAAACTCTTTTTATGGTTTTTATGTGCACGCAATTCAATAACAAATAACAAATCGAAATAATAGATTCATCTCAGACGGCAAACCATTTCGAAAGCAAGAATTTTTTTTAGTTCAATATTTGTTGGAATTGACACTTTAGATGTTATTATATAAATAAAGATATCTTGTAATAATTATAATTAAATTAAGAATTTGAATTCTAATTAGATAATATTTATTATTAATAGAATTTGAAGAATTTGAAATTCTTAGTATATATCGAAGTAGCGACGGTTTTTCTTTCCTTCGAGGCTCCGGGATAAAGATACAATTTTTACGAAAAATTGTTCAAAAAAATTCAATTCATGTTTGCAAAAACAACGTTCCCTTCTTTTTATGATATTTTTCTATTTTTATAACGGATTAATTCAATGAATTAGAACGAATCAACTGATTGATGGTCTATATCTTTAATTTTTTATTAAAGAAGTTATTGGTGTTTTAGTCATTTTACCAAAAAGAACTAACTTATCAAATTACAACCTCAGATCAGTGGCTCCATCAGGGGCGGAGCCAGCATACCGTTAGGGGTTCATCCGAACCCCCTTCGATGGAGAATATTACTATTTATAAATGATTAAAATTATTTTTTATGTATATATAATAGATATCAAAACCCTTCAATTAGTTCGTGTGTTTAGTTCTTCAGATTTCGAACCCCTTTATTAAAAATCCTAACTCCACCACTACCTAAGATTATGACCATATTATGTCAAGTGTTCGTATTTCCAATATATTTTTTTGGTGAACACATTAATACGTGTTTATTATTAGTTTTAATTAATATTTTTATCTAACCACATAACTGCTTAAAAATGTTCGATCATCATATTATGGTAATTAGTTATTTACTGTCAACTAATCCAAATGATTCTAACAATGTATTTTGTTGTTTGATAGATATTTTGTGTTTTAAAGTCGAAGGATTTGGAGATTGCTATCATAATGGAGATCTTGGTATTACATATACATGTGATAATCTAAATATAATGAAGGATTAATGTGTGAATGTGGTCCACAAATCAAAGAAATAATTATATTTTGTATTTTAATTATGATTTTGATAAAAAGAAATCTATGAGTTCTCCTGATTGTGTACTATTTATCCTACCTCACTGCCCCCTTTTCAACAATTATTCAAATCAACTATGGTAAAAGTTAGTATTTAGAAGATAATATTCTCTAACATAAAGACATTAAAGTGAAAGGATAATTTAATCAAACAAATAAATTATTATACTAGTAATAGATTAGGAAAATATGTGTAATGATACAACATACTTCCTCACAGAAGAATGATAATATAACAGCAAAATTATATGAGCAGACTACAGCCTTGTTTTGATTTATGTGTCTGAAAACTGTTGTAGTGACATTATACCAACATATGACACACAATTTCACTGTTGTGGCCTACTTTAGGTTTCTTGCATGAAGTGGATGACAAAGAATAAATAACGAGGATGAAGTCGAACCGAGTAGATGAAGATTACAGATAGTAAAGCTCTGCTCTGAATTCATTCAGTTTGTCGTTGTCTTTGACATCGCCTGCTTGACAGCCTCCGCGTATGTCCTATGTTGGTAAGTGAGTGTGGATTCAAGCAAGTCCCATAGGGATGTCTTTGGGTTCCAACCTGGTAAATCAATCGATCCAACAGTTAAAATTATTTTCGGCTTTATGCAGTTGTCGTTTTGCAATAGAGTAAGGAGACGGATTGTTACCGAGCTGTCTGTTGATTATGGTCATGTCTGGAATCCGCTTGTCACTGTCATCATACCCCTCGCCATAAAATTCTTTAGAACTAACATCGACGGTGGGAGTTTCAAGAGGGGTTTCTCCACTCACTTTTGAGTACACCTGTGCAAGAGAAGAAGTTGAGAATGCAGAACATATGCCGTGTGAAACGTAGTACTGAAGGCCAGAGAGGTAGGAGGAAAATGAAAAAGTGGTGTCACTCAATACCTGAGTCATCATTTCAGCTAGCTGCTTGACAGTAACTTCGTTATTAGGATTGCCGACGTTAAAGATATGGCCGTTGGCCCGAGCAGGATTTTCCTGAGAGAAAAATCGGATGAATCACAGTACAACATAATACACTTTAAGAAGAATAGAGGGTTGAATAGGTCAAAACTCACAATCATCAGGGAAACAGCTTCAATAGCATCCTTGATATATATGAAGGTTCTCTGCGAGTGTCCACCGTCCACTAGTTTTAGTGGTTCATGCCTTAATAGGTTCTACAAAAGAAATAACGAGATGATGAAATTCGCACACATACTCTAGTAAACATCAGATGACTTCAAACTTAACCCCCCACCCCCACCCCACCCCCAAAAAAAAACGATGCATACATTACTAAAGCAAGCCAATACTCTTGGAACACCTTCACTAGGACCATCGATCCCGGGTATAAAATCCATCCTGGGGCCAATCCAATTGAAGGGCCTAACGATGGTGAATTCTAAGCCATTCTCAGCACCCTCAGCTGCAAACAAAATAAAGTGAGAAATATATGATAAGAGATTCAACTTTAGACCATCCAGATGAAGGTACAGTTGTACACACCATAGATCAATCTCTCAATCAATTGCTTTGCACAGGCATAGGACCACCTTTGCTTCTCAATAGGTCCAAAAATGCATGGAGATGCATCTTCCGAAAGAAGAAAATAAGCAGGATCCTAGAAATAATCAGGTAAGGATCAGAACATCTCCACAAAAGTAATGGTATCAGAGAGAGCATAATATGGTCAATGATACCACACCAACAACTAAACATACAATCCACTTTGTGAGATCATGTTAAATACTCTTTCCACATTGCTAATTAAGATTCAAGTTAAACAGTAAATCCAGCAACTTCAAAGAACATAGCCTTGAAGTAATTAACTCTGTTCTTCTGGTTCTGGAAAATGGCGTCAATTCATACACACACTCGCCAATTACCAACCTATTTTATTAGGTAAATAATTTTACTAATATGGAAAATTCCCATTGCCAATTACTATCGTCTATGGTAAATAGGTTTGACTGGGATGATTCTAGGTTTATAAGCACACAAATCTCAAACTTGAAAATTCTCGAGTTCTTACCATGCAATTCAGAGGAAGGAATTGGTTGTTAGGTTAAGATAAGGTAGCAAGAAAGTCCCAGAAGTTGAAGTAGAAGATTGAACCAAAAGGATTGAGGGTATTACTTTGAACAATGACACTAAGAACAATCAACCAATGAAACTGAGTAATTTACATATTGTACCGTAAGGAACTGTACTTAGCGTAGAACCTATTGTTGTTGTACAATGATCAAATTTTGCAATAGGCATGCTGTGGGACTAGTTGTTATTGTTGTTGCTTACCATTGTACTCAATGAGACAAATATCATGAGGATGATAATCATTTGAATGTACATAGAAGGTAAACCTGGTGGGAGCTGGCAATGTTCCCCGCACAAGTACAAACCCCAGAACTTACCATAAGTGTGCCAACGATGCTTGTCCACAAATTCAGTATTCACTTATTTGACTACACAGAAACAACACTTAGCACACCTTTTGAACAATTTATTTTAACTTATGAAGTACATTCACTCGCTAGAACTGCAGAGTATGTCAGCTAGATATTAGATACTTGAGACCTCCTACTCACACAATTACCAAGTAACTTTGTCCACAAAGGCTATAATGTATGGAAAGAAATCACCTAGTGTTTTTGCTTCCAATAGGATTTGAAACTAATACCTCATGATTCCCACACCACTTGATTGACCACTACCCATTCAGAAACTATTATAGAGAAAGACGACTAGCTTTCTAAACATAGAGATGCACAAAAATGCAATACAAGCCCGAATAATACTTCCATACTAATTCATTAACGCCTCCTAATCCTACATATACTAATGTCATGCAGTCCCAGTAGACATGAAAAATACACTGAACAGGCCTTGTGTTTCATGTTTCATTGACATCCAGTACCGAGTCTCGTTACCACATAATAGGGTGCTTTGTGGGATAACATTGGCTACTAAGACGGGTGAGTTCACACATAAGATTGAGAGAAACCAAAATTGGATGGACAAGTTGAGAATACATTTGGATTTCCAGAGGTTGCCACAACTCACAATCAAAAAGACCTAACAGTCTAACACACCAGAAAAGCATTAAGATAATACGGAAAGAGAAAATTGAGAAAAAAATATAGTCTCAATTATCCTTTTGACCAAGAAACTTCCATTACAAGTCTTTTCCAATATAATATAATATCAAGAGTGTACTAGTTTAACTAACATGTCAATATCATTGACTAGGTTGGTTTGAGATTGTAGCTATTGCAGGCTTACATTTGGGTTTTAGAGACTCTGTAGCTTTGAGAATTTTAATTTGTCCTAAAAGAAAAAATTGTGAAGTATTGGAATATAACAGGCTTAAATGACACACAGTAGACAAAGAGAGAATCCAGATAATTGATCCAACTGAATTGGGATTAAGGTATATTGATTATATTACTAGCATTTTTACACGAAAATACAGCATTGTTTGAATCAATCATACCATAGTACCACTTCTTATTTTTTTTTAATTTTCTTTTTGGGGAGAGAATAGGAAATATCAACAATTAGAGGACAGTTCAGGAACTTCCATTTTATGAAACATGACACAAAGAAAATAACAGATCAATAATTTGCACAAGTTTGGCATTTAACAAGAGTAATAACATGAAGAAAGTGAACTCTTACCTGCCGCAATGGGCTGTCTTCGGGCAAAAAAGCACCTATGGTTTTCCCATAAACTTCACAAGTGGAAAAGTGAATGAGACGCTTTCCATTTTCTGAGCAGTACTTAACCTGAAAAATCAATTAACATCAACTTCACACCTCAACTACCAACAGAAAAGGTGAAATCTTTCTGCAAGTGACACCTCACAAGCACAGAAATTGTGCTTTATGAGGTAAAATAGAATTCTCTCTTTATAAGAACTATGAAAAGTTAAAATCCAACATCCATACCACTGGTAGAGCATCAATGAAGTTGCTGTAGATTGTGTCAAGCGGACGTGTATTATAATCAGCTGGAGTGCAGATTGCAGCAAGATTTACAGTCTATGAAAAAACAAAAATTTATCATTAGTCAAGGACTTCCTTCGTACTGCATTTTTAGAAAAGGCATCCAAAAGCATGAAGAAATTAATTACAACAAAGCTCAACTTAATTTCAGAAATTCTCTCCAGAATCCTGAACATCAAACAGGTTCAGATCATTATAGATCTCAAATTCACTTTGCTAGTTCCAATATTCAGAAATTTAAGTATAATTTTTACCAGATCATCAAGCTAGTCTTGTAACAAACCTAAGAAATGAAGTGCGGAAGAACTTAAAGATGCAACATAAATAGTTGAGTAACCTATGAAAAATTCTAATCAATGAAGAGACCAAACAGAGTAGTTTTGCTATCAGATCCATTAAGATTCACCTCTTTATGCTTTGAATTCTCAAAAATTTCTACAAAATAACTACAAAAGGAAATGCATCAACTAAAAACATCAACCAAAGCAACACCGCTGCTTCAAAATTCAGAAATTTCAGTAGCTCAGTTAGTTGGCCTACACGAACGAGATTTCAAAATTCCGATAAACTAGCGAAGAAACTAAAGTCACATTCAGTCCACTGTGCTCCGATTCACATGTAAGAAGAAGAAAAAATTACCAGATCTGCCATTTTGATGAGTCCTTCAAGACGAGAATCATTCTTAATGTTAATTCTGTGGAACTGTATCCGTCCATTCCAAGGTAGAGAAGTCGGTTCAAGCAGATGCTTGATTTTATCACTGTAAACATCGACGGCGAGCACCGTGTGCTGCGTTTCCGACATGAGCTTCTCACATAAGTGCGAGCCAATGAATCCACCGGCGCCGATCATGCAAATCGTCATCGGATTGATCGGATTGCCGTCTAGATCTACCCTCCCTGCCATTTTTCCACAGAAAAATTCACTCTGTATAGTTGATTTTAGAAGTAGGAAAAAAAGGAGGGAGTTGAGTCGCTTGTGACTTGACTCTGTTTTATACCTGTAATAATAATATTTAATAATAATAATAATAATAATAATAATAAGTGTTATATTATATTCCCTCCGTCTGGTATTATTTGTCATAGTTACTATTTTAGAGTTAAACTATAAAAATTTTGACTAATATTTTAAGATGTATTTTTTCATTATATTAACATGCAAAAAATTGTAATTTATAGTATTTTTCATATAGTTTTAGAATATTTAATTTTTTTTATCTAAAATATCGAATTAATGTGATTTAATTTACTTTTAAAAATTAATCAAATTAACTTTCGATAAGTGTAATATGACAAATTTTTTCAGACGGAGAGAGTATAATTTGTTTTTCTAAAAAAAAAAGATTAAGTAGATTATATTATATAGTATGTTTTCGTAATGTTTAGTTTATTATTATTTTCATGTTGACAAGTGCGAGTGAAGGTGTTAATGGCTGGATATTTCTAGTTGATGATGTTAAATATTTTTTGATTTTTGATTAATAAATAGAAGAACTCACGAAAATCAAAATTTTGAATAAAAAATGAATTGATTTTATAATATAAAAAATTAATGACGTGATCGAATTATAATTGGTCACGTGTTAAAAATGATTTTACAATATTATTGTTAAAAAATAATCGCATGAATGAGCTTCTTTTTTTTAACGGTAATGGCATAAATGAGTCAAATTTTTAACTGATAGCATAAATGGATTTTCTCTGATAATTTAATGACATATTTGAGCTTTTTCCTTAAAGTTTATTCCGTCCATTTTACTCTGGCGGCCACTTATCCCGCTAGAGCTTCGCTGCCCTAGCGACATCTGGCCCGCTCTAGCAGGCTGAGGCCCAGTTTTCCCCAACATTTTTTCTTCCTAATTAACAACTGTTCGAATCGTTACTCTAATAAATTTGTGATATTTAATTAAAGCTTTCGAAGAAAGATGATCACTTGATTACATTACATTGTGGCTTGAGTGGTGTTCCATGCTAGCATATGTTTATTACATACATTCTTACACACTTAGATTATTATTGCTTTTATGTTAGCAATTAATAAGTGTGGTTGAATATAAGTGTTAGCGATTCAATTTTTCTCCTTTTGATTGTTGAATATTTTCTGAATCCCGATTAACAAATCAATGGAATTAGGCTGAAAATAAGAGGATTATTGAGAAGATTAGGATGATTAAGCTAGTTATCGAAGGATTTATGGATATTTTTAGAGAAAGGAAAAGTTGTATATTTTATTTCTATGAATCAAACTTAGTAAAATTTAATTTTATTTTCTATTATTAAGGTGGAGAACTAAACGTCTAAACATACCATAACTATTAAAATAAAAAATTTGATCCGATGTTATGTTAGCAAGGAAAAAAAGATCAATATAGATTGTGGTGCACTGATAGGATTGCTTCGCCATTAATCAGAGATTTCGGGTTCGAATCTTATGTATGAAGAAAATTGTGTTAGGAGTGTCATCCTCGAATGTGCGTTACAGTGCGTAGTTCGAATTTAATCGAAACTCTAACGTGAACTTCGAACACTGAATAAAAAACCTAAAATCATAAAAAAAAAAAAAAAGGAAAATAATAAAACAATGCACATGGGGTTAAGAGAGAACATGCAAATCATGCATGAATGAATAATTGTGATATTTGTAGACAAAAGAACAACCTTGAGCAAGAAGCACCGACAAAGTCATATGCTTTATTTTTTATTTTTTTGGTTATGTACTTGTATACAGCTTAAATTTGAATTTTCGTATTACAATACTTATTTCTCGGGATAATACTTTCAAAACTATATTTTTAAGGGAAAATGCACAAGTATCTCCTTAATCTATACTCGAAATCCTAGTGACACACTTATATTATATTAAGGTCCTATTACCCTCTTGAATTTATTATATAAGTAATTTTCTACATCTTTTTGGTCTACATGGCACTATCTTGAAAAAAAAGTCAACCAGCGTTGGATCCACAAAATAGTGTCACGTAGGTCGAAAAGGGGTAGAAAATTATTAATAAAATAAGTTTATGGGGTAATAGAAACTTAGTATAGTATAAGTGTGTCTCTGAGATTTCGAGCATAGGTTGAGGGGATACGTGCATTATCCCTATTTTTAAATTACTAAACAAATTCAAATTTTTATTAAGAGAGAAAAATTTCACCATCTTATCACAATTTATCAAGATGACTTTTAAATACATTTGCTTTGACTAGTAATTATCGATTCATCGCTAATAAGTCCATTCATAGAAAAATATCATCAATATCGAATGAATCTAAAGGAGTAAAAAGAGATATTTTTAAGACATTCACTTTGAATATTTTTTTTCAGACATCAAGTTAAATAGTTTTATATATATATATATATATATATATATATATATATATA